AAAGCCCTAATATGAAGATAACAAAAAAGAATGGGAGAAGAAACTGAGTATTCAGGGAGGTAGTTTGCAACTATTGCTATAAATGACACTGTTGTTCTTCAGAAAGGTTTTATAACTCAAAGACACTTGTATTTTAGAACTCATAGTATTGGGCCATCATAATTCTGATATACTGTAGGCGTTTATGCAACACAGCTATGTAACCCCAGGGCTACATTACAATGAATATACATAGGATAACATTTTTGTTTTAGCTTTTTTTTTTTTTAAACCTAGAAAGACAAGATTCTTGTGTATTTGCACAGGAGACCTCATGTAATATTACCATACTATTTCTAAGCCCTACAGGTATAACCTTTCTTTTTGCTTATTAGTTACTGCAGCTTTCCTATCTTCAGGTTTTCCCCTATTTTAGAGATACCAGAGAAGTGCAGTGTTTTGTTTGCTATATGAGATATAGCCAATGTTTTCTGAAAATAGAAAACACACTAACTGCATTAAGCACTTCATACTGACTGCTAAAATTGTAATTAATTTTTGAAGACATATCTGACATTTCCATTTAGTCTTAAAAAAAAAATCTATATTGACATGCATCTTTTCTATCTTCAAGGTTTCTGGAAGTTTTAAAGCTGCAGGATCAGTGTAAATTTGGCTCCTCAGGTAGGAAAACAAACAACTTCATTGCGGAATGTGGTTAAATAAAATCCTTAGGTCTGTCTTGATCATCACAACTAGAATTACCTGCCTGAGGTACCACTGCCTGAGGTACCACTGCCTGAGGTACCACTGCCTTGCAACTATTTGCTGGGAACCAGTTTGGCAGCAGAGCTTCAGAACTAGAGAGAGGCATCATTAGCCCCATTTCTCTGAAGAGATCTCCCATTTTTCATGGGGATGGAGAAGTGGAAAAATAAGTTTCAGAAAGTAAACCAAGACCTCGGGAGTTGGTGGAAAAGCTTCTCTGAAGTTGCTACAGTTTGAAAGGTATTTTCTTCTCATGAAAGGTAGCAGCGGTGCCAGTATAAAACTGCACTGATACTCTAGTTGCATTTTGGTGCTAGGAACAGTGCACAGGAGTGCTAGTGGGTCAGTGCACAGGAGTGATGTGCAATCCAGCACTTCCATCTGGCTATCATTGTTTCCCACCAGTACTCCGTACATGCAAGACACACAGACTATAGAGGGCTTCAAGCAGACTCCATACTTGCTTTATGCTCAGTACATGTGTTTTAAATAAAGATATTTGAGGATTTCACAAAAGCCCAGCTGACAAACACGACAGACATAGGCTTAGAAATCACAGGGAGAAGAGGTAATGAGGCTCCAGTGCAGAAGAGGGCCCATACCTTAGTACAGGTTTCTCTTACTGTTATTTCACAGAATATTTTAATCTTCTCTGTAGCATCCTTACTGTGCAGAGTTAGGAATAAATGAGACTCCAAGTCAAATTAAACTGTGTGGATTTGAAAAGGCAGCCATTTCCAAGAGGCAAGTCAAGAGGCATCAGCATCCAAGACAGGAAAACAAGGATCAGAAGCCTCCTGTTCTTATGGAGCGTGTCCATACGAACCAAGCGTAAGTTATGGTAATTCCATCCTCCCATAATCAATATACACAAAACTGTGCCCAAAATATCAAAACAGGCAGAGTAACATCCTGCAGAGACACACAACAGCAGGTACCATCCTGCAACGTGTGCGTGTTTAACCAGGGTTTGTAAGTCCCTCTCTCCATGTGGCTGCAGGAACTTGCTCCTGCTAAGCCTGGCACTGAGCCCTGCCTTGGGTTGCATTAGCATTCAGCAGTTCTCCTCTTACAACGCCTTTTTGAAGAAGAGTTCAGGCAGTCAAAGCATCTGACTTCTGAGATGCTTATCCAAGCAGGCTGGGGGGAAAGGAAATACCTGTCCATGCCCCTAGCTTTACATCATCGGGTCTGAACTGTAGAGGATCGTGTATGGAAGAGCTGGCCAAGGCAGAGCCTGCGGACCAAGAACTCCTCCGTCTGCAGCACAGCCCCTACCCCAGCCTGGCATTAGCACAGAACAACCCGCAGAGCCTAGAGGTCTCAGGAGGCTTTCCAAGAGCAGCGCTCCGCGTTATTCCCGTTACGTCAGTTTGGTACTGTCCTCGGTCTTCAACAAGGCCCCAGCACAGCCCTCGCTGGGCAAGTTCTGGTCAGACACCTACAAACAAAGCACAGAACTGGCAAAGAGAGAAGGTTCCTCCATCACCCTCCAGACACATTTGATTTTTGAAGGAGTTACTTGTGCAAAAAGCCATGGCTGGGTCAAGCTGTCTGTTCCTGCTCAGTGAGTACAACACCGGTTATTGTCAAGGAATGTTCTCTGTAGGCACCAGACATTAGTGCTCTGTCACCCCTAATGGACAGGTGATCAGCAGTGCCAGGATGGGTGGTTTGGAGGTCGAGCGGCCTGCAAAGGCTGCCTTTTAAGGACAGCTTTCCATAAGCATCTTAAGGCTGCAGTGGTGTCAAATCTGAACGACACCATGTCAGCAGCCCGGGCTATCAGGCAACTCCTAGGCATAGCTGACAGCTAGTCTGAAATTCAGCACAAAACCATCAAAAAGTTAAGACCATCATTCACGCAGAGGGAAAGACATTCAGAAAGGTGCGTGCTGGTCAAGAGTGCAGCAACACACTCAAGGATTTTGAGAAGGGTTTCACAGAATGCTTAAGGTTGGAAGGGACCTCTGGAGATCATCTAGTCCAACCCCCCTGCTCCAGCAGGGACACCTAGAGCACGTGGCACAGGGTGGCATCCAGGCAGGTTTGGAAGATCTCCAGAGAAGGAGACTCAAGGGGTTTGAGGATAAGTAACACTGCAGGTCCCTTGTGACACTGCCGGGTACTGGCCATGTACACATTTCAGCATTTCAAAACATCTCTCAATAGCTTCACTTTACAGTGGCCACGGTTCATACTTGGGAAATAAACCTTTTGTGAATGGGGACACCTATTCCAGACTCTTTGGTCTTCAGCATCAAATGTGCCATCTTGCTTCAGAGATGGGTCAAAAACCTTTTACACTAGAAAGACAAAACAAGTCTTGAGAGGTTATTCCATACTTTAAAATATAGGAGTCAGGAAGGAAGGGAAGGGGAAAGGAGATAACGGTAACAGAACAAAGCAGCAAAATTGGGCAGAAATGTGTTACCCAAGCAAATACTATGCTAAAAGCCAGCCAGGTGCTGAGCCGCAGAGAATCCTGTGAGCACTGTGGCCTTGCTTGCTCCAAGCTCCTTGCCAGGTAGGGATCAGGGCAGATGGACAAGTCACATAGCCTCAAGGCACTGGAAATGCTGCACAAGACTTGCTCTGTCCCACACCTGAGAGCAGGGCCAGCATTTCAGAGCACATGAAGGAATCACACACATCCACTCCCTGCAAGAGCCTTTTCCAAACCTGTTCATCTCACTGCACTACCCATTGTCCTCAGTGAGGCAAATAAAGAGGGTTGGTCTTGTCACATCCACTGCCGCTCCTTGGGAAACCACACACAAAAAAGAATAGGGCATGCGTCACAGGGCAATTATTTTGTTCTCAACTTTTTATCAACGCCAGCAACAAGAAAATGAGGGTCAGAGAAATACGTCAACCCAAAGTAACAGGGAGCTTGATGCACTACAAGCCTCAGTTGAGGAAGTCTCGAGTGCTACCGTGAAGCTGCCAATGCCCTGCTCTCACCTGCTGTCAGCAGGATCCGTGGAAGCATTTCATTAAAGTTCTTTCCCCCCTCCAAACATTTCACACTGCTCACACGATCAGATGCAGAGATGAAATTTGCTCACCCAAGGTGCCAGAGGGGATCAACATCATGAGCGAGTCATCCCATTATCCAGCTTCCAGGTTAATACCCACACGGACCGCATTTCTGCAGGACAACAGGTCTCCGGCCGCCCGTAACAAGGCGCCTCCGGGGCAGGACAGCAGCACAGGGGGAACCTT